TTATTAATCATTTAATGTTAAATAATAACCATTAACTATTGTATAGCCAAACAGTTATATTTACCGAATCCACTATTTATCATCTGTTACCCACTTTCAACTATTTGTTATCAACTATTCGTTAACCGCTATTCGTTTCCCACAATCCGCTGACCGTTGAATTTTAATCGTCGTATCAAACAGTCCCTGAGAAAGAACGCAGAACACTAAACAACCAACAGTTTGTGAACTTCCCCATAACCCAAATCTTTCATGGCAGTAGTTGCTTCTTCTCCAACAAATCCAAATTTCTGGGTTCTCGAAACCCAGTAAGGGTTCTTGCTGGCAATCGCGTCTTTTCCCTCTTTCTCCTCTCCTCCTTTCTCTGTAGCCTCATGTTTGCCTCAAAGAGAATCCAGATCTAGGTTTTTACCTGTTGACAACCTAGATCGATTTGGGTTCGAATCTTTGACGACAGTAATGCAATTACAGGCTCACCCAACGGGTTTCTAATACCTGAAATTTTGATGATTTTGGTAGAAGCAAGCGGAATTAGTAATATATTTGCATGGATCTAAAGTTAATTTATATCTCCCCCTATGGTCCCTTTGATTCACTGGAAACCTCAAGCCCAAGAAATGTATATTCTCATCACCTTGTGCCCTGGATATTTTTTCTCAGATTTGGCAGCTATTAGTATCAAACAACGGAAATAATTTGCTAGATTGAGATCTAGTGAACTTGTGAAAGATATTGAACACAAAGAAATTTCAAAGAAGAAGGGACCATCGACTATGTTGGAAATTTTTATATTTTTATGTTTTTATGTTGAACACGAAAAGAAAACATTTTAGATTTGTTCTTATGTTGCGTAAATTCTTGATGGTGTTTAGCCATTTTGGAGAAAAGGATGAAGATGAAAGGAAACTGTTGTTTTGAAAATTTGAGGCATGTTTATGAGATTGAAAGAATGCCATGTTTTGAAAATTCGAGGAGATGTAAAGGCCAATTTAGGAATTACACTTTTTTGTTTTTTTATTAATTTTTTAAACTCATTCACTTACCTTTGTCACTTAAAAATATGGAAAACGTTGCCACATAAGCGCCACCTATCAAAGAAACGACAGCCAAGCTTGTGGTTAGCGGAAAGCTTACGTGTAACATGACATCACATTAAATTTTGGTTTTTTTAAGTAAAAAAATTTTATGAATAAATTTATTTTATTATTATTATTATTATTTTATTTGGGGATCTGTTTTTGATTGTGTGACTTTGGAGATTTGAGTTTTTTTTTTTTTTAATTTTTTTGAGAAGAGTAATAGTTAGGAAGTTAGTTTGAATTAGTTGTTAACAACTGGGGATTCGATCTCTCTAAACTGGATGAACATTCCACCCCCTCAAATGAGACGCGCGGTCATCGAGTCGCTTTTTGGTGGAATTCACGACGATGATAGAAGTCGAAACTCCGACCATCTCACTCAAACACTTAAAGTTTGAGGTCGAACCATTGGATCTAAAATTTCAATTCGAGATTTGAGTATTCCGATCATGATAAACAGGAGAGAAATTAGGGTTGATAATTGGGTATGGGTATATTTATTATTTGTAATTATTTTAATCGTTTGAGTAAGTAGCATACTTGATTGGTAAAAAAATTAGGTGAATAATGAATATGAAAATAATATATTATAAGTATTAAATTAAGTAATAAATATAAATATTTAAAATTATTTACTTGACTTATTTACTTAACTTATTTAATTGACCTTTTACTTATATTTGTATAATTAAAATTTTAATTATATTTTTTATTATTAATATTTATATAATAATAATTTAACAATAATAATTCATATAAATAATAAACTATAAGCTAAACACGTAACATTTGTAGTAATAATAACTTATAAAAAAACCTTTTTTTTCTTAAATTAAATACATAAATATATATTGATAAGTTACTTATTATGTTAAATATCAATTCTAAGTCTTTAAATATTTAAATAAATGTTAAATTTACAAAATTATACCTACAAAATTTTAAATTAAATTTCAAACATAACTTATATTTAACTAGTACTAAAAAAAATGCTCACAGGAGAAACGCGGAGGCACAAGAGGCTTCGCTCACAAATAGATCGCAGCTCGGCCCACGTTCTTCACCCTTTTTTTCCCTTTTTTTGGGGTGGGTGGTGAAAACACGTTCTTCAGTCTTCACCTTTGTTTTCTACTCTTTATTTTTCACCTTTGTTTTGTCTCTTTCACCTTTTTTTTATTCTCTTTATGTTTTTTCCTTTACTGTTCTCCCCTTTACTTTTTTTTTTTCCTTTATTTTTCTCTCTACTTTTTATAATCCTGGTTAATTAATATTAAAAAACAGTTCTTGTCAAAAAGTTAATCAAGGATAATGTTTATCCATTATAGTAAATTTGATTTAAAGAAAATAGAAAGAAAAAGAATAAAAAGATATCATATTTTTTTATTTTTCTTTTTTATTTAAATAAATAAAGAAAATTAAAAGTAAAACAAAGAACTTCCTTCTCTTCTTCTCTAACCTTTTAATAATCAAATAAAATAATATCTCTTTTTCCTCTAAAATCAAACATATTAGTAGCAATAGAAATTACATTTTCATAATATTTTTTTTATAATATCTTATAAAAGTATTAATTTATTATGATTAAATTAATTTTTATTGATATTTTATATTTTTATTTATTTTAATAAATTTAAATTTTTTAATAAATAAAAATATAATAATTAATTGATAAAATGTTATATTTGTTCTTAATTAAATATTATT